GTTATCTTTTCAGATATCGAACAGTGAATATGAAATCTACGCCAAGGGAGCAGTGCTGGTTAAGGCGGGGGGACGACGAGGGGATAATGATGAGCAGCAATCGGCTTCAGCAACAGAACACAGAATCCGCCGAAGCAACGGGGACCCGAATGAGCCGACAGACTACTCCGCAGAGATGCTGCCAGAACATTCAGCATGGGTTCCTAGAAAGGGACGTGTAAGATCGATTCGTGCAGTGAAATCTCTGAGATTGGCTCGTGTGACGAAACCTCTGCGATTGATTCGTGCAACCAAATCTCCGGGATCGATTCATGCATCGAAATCTGTGGGATCGATTCATGCAACAAAATCTGTGGGGCCGATTCGTGCAACGAAATCTCTGGGATTGAGTCGTGCAACGAAATCTTTGGGATTGAGTCGTGCAACGAAATCTTTGGGATTGATTCGTAAAACGAAATCTCTGAGACCGATTCGTACAACGAAATCTCTGGGATTGAGTCGTGCAGCAAAATCTCGGGGATTGAGTCGTGCAACGAAATCTGTGGCATTGATTCGTACAACGAAATATTCCGGACGGATTCATGGAATGACATCTCAAAGACAGCCTCTTAGAAAAAAGCCTCCAAGTTCTACTATTTCTACGGAAACCAACACTTCTTCGCCTCAGAGTTCTACAGCAGAGAACAGTACAGAAAAATTTTCACGTCAGAGTTCTAGAACAGAAGCCAGTACTTCTTCACAAAAACAGGAGGTGGACGATTTTAGGAAGTTTGTCTTTAAAACTATAATTCTTTTTGTTGTAATTAAATTTTTGCTTAATTTGAAATAGTCGTGTTCGGGTGTACCGGTAGATATATGAACAAAGAATACAAGGAAGGAGAATCTTTGGACAATCTTATAGCAGTGATGCTCCGAAGATTTTCGCAGGCACCACTCACTGATACATGGCTTCCATCGAGCATCAGCATAGAAGGGGTTAACGGATACATTTACGTAGGCGCCGAAATAATTTCAGTTCGCCACGGGATTTATCAAATAGGCAAAGTTAACAAAAGTGGGGTCGATGCTTTCCGATGAAACCGCTGAAAAAGTGGAAAGGGGATACCGCGAGTCCAGTTCACTTCGAAAAAAAATAGGTTGAGGAGAATTTTTGCTTTTTTAGTTGATTAACAAAGCTCGCATTGAGGAAGACCTGGTTTGCAGTATTTTGATTCCAGAAAATTTTTTTTGTTCCTGGGATATTTGTTTTCTAATAAAATAGCAGAATTTCTAGAAAAATCTGCAAAATTCTTACCTAGGATATTATTTTGCTATTTAAAATATGACTATGTGCACCAACAAATACATAAGAAAGTGCGTTAAATGTTGCAAAAAAAAAAAAAAA